CTTCATCAAGCCTTATGACAGAACAACAGACTGTTATTGATAATTACTTTTATATGACGCTACATAGAAGAGTGGAGTCCCTTTAAAGGTAGGGAGTAGGACAGCACCCGTTAGAGTGATCGTGGTGTAATGGTGCTAGTCTCTAAGCTAATACAAAGCAGGATGGAGCTTGCCTTTCATGTTGTTTTCACCAACTTCTGATCCTGAGACTCGTCATACCAGGAAACATTTTTCCAATCTTCTATTCTGCAATACTGCCTGTGAGAATTACAACCTAAGTCTCCTGAGAAAGAGGTCCTGGATAAGTGGCAGAAATAAATGGATGATGGCTAGGTAGCGTTGTTAGCCAGCTGCAATCATAAACTGTATGGGTACATCGCACAGATACTTGCTGATTTGTGCTAAATAATAAACTATTAATACAGGCACACTGAAGGACTTGGAAGGTCTGTACCTCACCTCAAGTCATATTATTTGACACATATTTAAATAAAAGTGTTCCAAAAGTCCTAACACTTATAATAGTATGAAACAAAAGATTTAATAAAACCAATCCTGGAAATAACAAACAGGCTAAAGTTAAGCATTTTATAAGCATAAAAATGAAACTTAAGCAAGTATAGTCTTTTGTGGAAGTATTGAATTAAAAACAATGTAAAAATAAATAAATAAATTAACTAAATAAATAAACCCAATTTACAATAAATCTGATCAATACATCCACATAAGTTAATTTATTCACTTAAAAATAACATAAGATGATACATTGTAGTTGGTCTTTGACAAAACTGAAAAGAACACACAGTAAGGCGTGCTCTTTTCAGCTATGTTCATATCTCTCACTATATTCTTTACTATAAGCAAAACGTACATTTTAATTTTTGAAGAAACTCTAAATTTCATGTTAGTTATTTTCTATAGATAGATAGATAGATAGATAGATAGATAGATAGATATTATTTATTTTGGACATGCAAATATAATTGAAATAACAACAGAAAAAACCCCAAAAATCATCAAGTTTTCATATCTACACAGCAAAATCTCCAGTGTTAAATTAACACTAGAGTGTCTACATGGGTCCACACCTTTGAGTGTTAAATACAACACTGTTGAGTGTTAAATTAACACTTTTGACAGTGTTATATGTTTAAAAGTAACCTAGTCAGCTTTGAAGATTAACAAAGACTAACACTGAGCAGTGCTGATTTTCTAACACTGGAGATTTTGCTGTGTATGTCTACAGAATGCGTGTGCTCGAAAAGGAGTAGGATGAGGTTTACACTTTTCTTGTTCCCATTTCATTGCTTACAAATTCATATCCAGGATTCAACATTATCTGATCATATATGGTTAACTATTGTTACCTTTTCACAGTTTCACCTGGTTCGTAGATTCCTCAGGCCTCCAGAAAGAACACCGGGGACTCAGTAGTCATTTCACAACACTTTTATTAATTCACATTCATTGATCACACTTATTGATTATACCTTCTAGAAGGGAGATGTACAGGACCCCGGAACTCCTCTGCAGATCTCAACTCCTTTGTCTGTTACATGCAGTTTTGTATCAGTGACCCCCCTTCTAAACCCTCTACAAGGTGCCATAAAACTAAGTACTATGTTTACATACTTTCAC